CAAACTCCTGATGAATTTTCAGCTTTTAATTAACTGGTTTTGGCATAAACTAAACAGTGTATTTTAAAATCTGTAACTGTAAAATCAGCAGTAATCCATCACCTTCAGTAACTTTTGTTGAAGATATACTGTGAACAGATTTTCTTTGCTTTGGTGGGTTTGGCTTTTGTTTGAGATTTCTGCAGCAAGCCTGTGTTGCTTGGCTACTTAAATTAGATTTATTTTATAGACCATAGTAACATACATCCTCTGTTATTTCATGGTTAGGAAGGAACTGAACCTCAGCTGTCTTCCTTCCTAAAAAGTTCTTAAGAACCCTGATACAGCAGGAATTCCTACCACCATTTCCAATAATTTTCTTTATACGGATCCATTTTCTGCCGGGATGTATTCCAACAGGCTTGATCCAAATTCATGGTCTCCAAATCATCAAAACTGGATTTTTAACAAATACCACGTCCTTAAGATTAAACCACGCAGCTATATCTGGATCTTCTCATCCCATCCTACTCCAATTCAAATATGGACTATCCCTACAGAAAGAGGGAAGTGTCTTTAACTTAATTTGTCTTAGTATCTGTGGAAGAAACCAAACAACCGCAAAACACCAAAACCAGACATCAAAATACCAGGTATCAATACTTTATTCAAAGGTATAATTTAAAGCAGTAATAGGGGAAAAAAATTGGACTGAAAGCAATAAGAACAGGTAAGAAAAGTTCTTCCAGTAGTCCCCTTAGGTAAAAGTGAATCTAGATCTAAGAAAAAGATACCTTGCCACTTCTCTTTTTTCCCTTTCTTGGTGTAATGTTTGAAGTTCTGTGCAATGTTAAGTTCCAAATCCAGTGGAATTGTGTATCAGTGAAAAACAATTACCTTTGAAAGTGTATGCTACCACAACAGAATTCAAAGGCACAAAAGTACATTCAGAGTTAATTCACAACAGACATCGTGACAGAAACATCTAAGAAACTTCCTCAGTCAGATCCAACCCATCAGCTTCAAGCCTAAGGACCAGCTGGCCAAAGAACAGTTTCAAATATCCGAGATACACGAGCAGGGATTTGTTTTCCCTCCAGCCACACCAGAGAAAATACAGGTTTCAGAGACAAAGCTCCTGTACAGGCAGTTTGAGGAAGGAGGGAAGTGACAAAAAACTTAAATCCTCAGAGACATGCATGTACGTCAGCTACAGCCGGTGCCAAGCATGATCAGCAGCCTAGGCTGACCAAGAATAAACAGAGCTAACGAGCCTGGAGCAGTGCCAATCAGCATTAGAGAAATTATGTGCCAGGCCAGGGAGTCAGCTAATCCACAGGAAGACTGTAAAAAACACTCCACAAGAGCTGCCGGAACTCACAGCTACCAGCTGCCAAAGGCTCCTACCCTTAGAGGCTTTCTAAAGTTTGGCTTTGGGATATCAAGCACAAGACTGCTGCTCAGCATGGATTAGGGATAACAGAAGAAAAGGGGGAACAGAGTGCAAACTTGAAATTTGTTTTCATGTACAGTCCTACCCTGGAACTAGGAAAAAGGGAAGGGCAGCTTCCTTTACTGCAGGTTCCAATTGTTCATTCAGTAGGGCAGCTCAGCTGGGTGCTAGAGCTAGCCAAAAGCACAGAACATAAGTGAAGTGCAGCAAATGCAAAGAGTAATTATACATTTCAGCAGAAAAGTTGGCATCTTCAATTGTATAAAACCAAGCCCCACCAAACTTCCATTATACAATGTAAACTATGATATCAAGTTCTCTGTAACGTGTCCTCAGGGCAGGATTTGCCTCCAGCTCAGCCGTTACCACCTCAACAGCCCCAGCACCAAGGAGAACCAAGACATCTGCAAATCAAGACCCATGACAGAAATGCATTCCAGGACAAGAAGACAGTTACTAGCACACACAGCTTTGGCTACTGGCAGAATCTAGGGAAGCTCAACAACTGGATAGTAGTTCTTCAGGGAGAAGGATTAAGGCAAGCTGATGCAATATAGCTAAAAATGAATACTCAAGCCAATAGAAATACAAAAGACTTTGGGCTTTGTAGTGATATGAAGATGTAATTGTGATTATCAACATGTCATTGTAACTAACAGAATTTTCCAAGTCAACAAAGCTAGCACTGCTTTGGCAGCATGATATGCTTTTTTTTTAAAAAAAAACAAACAAAAAACAAAACAAAAAAACCCAACCAAGAACCATAGTCCTCACTTCAAAAAAGTCGGGCTATTTTGTTGAGTGTTTTTTGTTCTTTAAACCAGGACAGTAGATGCCTATCTTGGCTCAGCAAACATTCTTCCAAAGCCACGCTTTGGCTTCCTTTTCCCCCATTTGCTTTGACAGTGTCCAAAACATTAGCCTCCCCAGATTGAAGCAAACACAGAAGCCAGCACAAGCTGCAGGTACTCAACCCTTCTAAAAAATATAGGCCCCTTCAGAAATGTGATTCTGGAGCACAAAAACTGGACTGAGTATTCATGAAACACCAATGAGAGGCATTACAGGAAGAACAGCACATCCAAGATCTTTTTGTTCTTGCTGATAGCAACATTATCTGACAGATTTTGTAAGTTTGTATGTCTTAATTTTCTGAAAAGGAGACAAAGCAAAAGGCAAGATCTCCCTCCCTGGTATCAGCAGTTCCCCTCAACACCCTGATATCTCCTTTGTACCTGCCACATACAGAAAAAGCAACAGGCTATCCAAATTGCCTGGGCACTACTTTGGAATGCAGCTGAAGACAAATACACAACCCATGGCTTCTGCCACCACCAGTAAATCAGAGCTTTCATTTGTACTTTATCTGTATTCCTGTATGCGTTTGCGTCAGCATGGCAACACTTTGCCAGGCAGTGTCAGACTGCTGTTGGGACTGAAAGTCAGTTGCAGAGTGCTACTGCAAGCACAAAAGTATGGCTGCAAACAAGAGCATGCGATCGATTGCCGGCCAGGAAGCCCCAGAACAGGCACAGAGATGACAGCAAGAACTCCCTGTTAATATTAGTACTTATCCACCAGGTTCCAAGTCAGTTGAAAACACAAGGAGAGGTGAACAGGCTAAAATTTTACCTACCGGAAACAGGAAATATGCCAAGGTTCATTAACAGTCTTGTAGAGACACTGACCAGCAGCAATGCTGTCCCCGCATCCTAGACATCTCCAGACTTCTTCACCTGCATGCAGGGAAGAAATGACATACAAACAACCAATTTAAATCAGAGAAAACAAGGATTGCTGCATCCCTGATAAAGAACAACCTTAAATTATTTAGTGACAGGGAAGCCTTCACACATAGAAAGTTAAGGCAATACCAGGCAGACTGTAACCCCAGAGAGTGGAGTTCCCAAACAGAACTCTGACACCTATATTTTGTTTTTCTTCAGATATAACCTCACCATCTGCTCCTTCACATTCTGTAGAAAAAAAAGCAATATAACTTCTTACAGAAAACAGCTCAGTTACAACTATTCTAGTTTTCAGAGAAGAGATTTCCAGAAGGCAGATTACTCTAGTGTACTAATTCCCACAGAGAACCATGCTAGGCCAGGAGGCCACGCTACTACTTTCCCCATGCCACTGACTCGGCACATAATGTTTGCACTCATTTATATAATTAACTGGATTTCCCAGAACTGAAAGAAAGGAAAGGCAAACTTTATTCAGTAGAGAATAACTTGACTACCAGGAAGGAATTACACACTTGAATGAATATTCCTGTAAAGACTGTACAGCCAACACCACGCTACTGTCAGACTTTGGAAGAGGGGATGATCCTACTAGTCTGTTGCCCTTCCAGAAAACACTTCTAATAGCTTCTCCTAGAACTACCATAAAGCCCCAGAGAGAGCCAGTTATTTAGATGCAGGCAAGATGGAAAAATGGTATGAAAACTCATGCACAAAGAGCATTTGGCACACAGATAAATGGTATCCAAAATCCAAACAGCTGTGTGGGCATATTAAAGAAAGAGTCAAGGATCTGGATGAGTGCAGGATGGCACAAGAAACATGTCACATAGCTGGGCAGATCTCAAACCCGCTTCTTCCTGCTACCAAAAGTTTACTTGCAGTAAGGTTGCATAAGGAAAGAAGTGTACTTAGAGAAGGAAAACCACTAACCACGGACTTCCATTTTCCAAAGAACGTTAAAACTCCGTAGTTGCTCAGGCAAGTTGATACCAAGGTCAAGTTCTTTGAAGTTACACAAAACAGAAGCCGTCAGCCTTCTATGCACTTTTGCCCCACTGTGTAGGTCAACGACAACGTTTAAAAATAACCAAGGTGAAGATCTCCTTGTACGCTTCACACAAATACCAATTCAGAGAAAAAACTTGTTGCTCAACCACAAGGAAGCACCACCCTCACCAGCAGGCTGACAGTACCTGTAAAAGGTCTCCACACAGAGGACAGTGCTAGATAGGATTTATTCAAATAGGACACTTGGTCTAAGTTGCTGCTTCAGCTCCTAACTAAGCACAAGCTCCACAGCTGGGAGCCTGGCTGCACCCTCCTGCTCTCTGGAGCACCAAGAACTGTACCAGACCTCAGAGCTGCACAACAGAGTAAGTGTTGGGAGAAACTTGGAAAAAAAGCTTGTGCTACCCATATTCTTCTATAAAGTACACTGCTTTTCAGCATACCAAGCAGGTTTGGAAATAAAAGGTAAAGCCACGTCTGCCTGTGCCTCAACACACAGGCAGCCACTGCTCTCCTCTCCAAGCAGCGCAAGCCCTCAAATTAGCTAACTTCTGGAGTTGCTGCTACTCCAAAGACCAAAAAAGTCTGTAAACCAGCCACCCTGCAGCTCCATCTCCTCCTCTTTAGTGCCACCAGCAGAAGGCCAGGCCCGGCGCAGGCCTAGGCCCGGGGCGGCAGCAGCGAGCCCGGCCCCTCCCGTCCTCTGAGGAACGGACCAGCAACGGGCTCCCCGTCCTGGAGGTAGCGCTCGGGCAAGTGCCTCACCTCCCTCCGTCCGCGAAGCACAAAGGAACGGCGGCGCACTCCGGTCAATGTAAAACCATTTGTTTAATTCTAAATCACTTTCACAACAGTGAAAATTAGTGAACAGTAATGGTAATGCACTAAACAAGCCATTATGGGCTGTGTGCAGTCTGAGTACGAGGGGGGGAACGGTACGGTACAAAAAGCACACCAAGAAAAAGGTAGAAACAGAAGCGTTAACACTTTTCGACTATTTCATTCTTTGATTGCCAGAAAATGGGGGCTCTCAGTCATGTTTCTGCAGCCACCTCGGTCTAAATCCATTACATCTCATGATTAGATAGAAAAAGCCCCCAAGCCATGAAAATTCTCTATTTTAAAACGTGTTAGTTAAATCAGTTTCAATACCTCATTTGAACCTATTACAGTCACTTTTCTGTCGTCTTTATCGGAAAAAGGCTTTAAAGGGATACCCTACTCCTCCCTGGATAACCTTCGCTCCTAGCATCGAGTTTCTCAATACAAAAAGAAGGAAAGCTATCCCTTTTACTACCACATGAACTTTCCATTTTCAACAGCAGGTGGTGCCGCCTGCCCATGAAAGGAAGCCAAAGCTGCGACATGGGACATGGTACTACAGCCGGTTGCTTACAGGAATGCAATAAATAGCCTTTCTCCTAGAAAGGGTCCTAGTTATCAACTTAGGCACTTGAGAAGAACCATACGCAGAAGTTAAGCTTCTCAAAAGTGCCATGCAACAAAAGCTGAAGCACCACTTCAACTATTTATAGCTGAGCAATATATTCTGCCAGCTTATCATTGCACCAGGTATAAAATTTGACTAGATGTAGCAAAACACTGCAGCAGCTTTGTAACATTCTACTTGCCAGACGGAATTTTGGAGGTAGGCAAGTTAAACTTCAGTCACCTTCTGTCTTGATACTCAAAGTGAACAGTTTATAATTACATAAATAAGCTTCTACAACAATTACTCAAGGTGCCCTGCCCAGGAACCTTATCCATATACTAGAAAACCCTAGATACTGAAACAAAGTTTCTGTGAGTCAATTTGTTTTGTCAGTCTATTGCCATGGAAGTCACAATATTCACCTTGCAGAAAATCACTGTGACTATTATCGACCTGAATCAAAATAATCTAAAAACAATAAGAGAAAAAAAAAGAAATTGCCAAGTCAGACAAATATGAAAACTCTTCATCTTGCTAGGGAATCTCTCATATCTGCTGTTCTGAAGGAATCTACACAAATACATCAGGAATACTCTTTAAAGCTGTATACCCAACAGGATTCCAAAACAGCTACAGAGTGCTCACCTTATGAAATATTTTTCCTTCAGTACAAAAATAGTTGTGGTCTCCTCCAGCACTTCAAATTAATATCTTTGGTAGATACTGCAGAGACTCTTAGACTATAGCCATTCTGCTGTGGAATGGAGTAGCTGTGTACACCTGTAGAGAGAAGCTCTTCCAAATATTCCCTACTGTGGCATGTGCTAGCAAAGGCAGGACCTCATTTTTCCTCCTGTATAAGTTTAACCTCAAAACTCATGTAAAGATGCCTTTTTTTCCTCTCCCCAAACAAGCCGATTTCAAATCTGTAATAGGATTTTATTTGGAGTACATGACCTTGCAGAGAAAGTCTCAAAGCCCTGGGGAGAATAAACGTAGCTACAGTGACAAGGTTGTGAGGGGATTATCCATGAATGCAGCCACAGGCTGCTGTGCAGAACCCAGGAAGACAACACTGTTTTGTCAGTAAGGAACCGGGCTGGGTGAGGCAGACAGGTGTGTCGTACTGTTCAGCAACTCCACCCAGGTCCACGACGAGAGAGAATCTTCCAGTGTCTGGCTCCAGCAAATCAGGCTTTAAAAAAATTGCAGCATATATTTGTATCCCTTCTTCTAACAGCCATTAGAACCACTTCAGGAGAGTTCTTCCATCACACTGGGAAATAACAGCAAAAAAGGAAACCAGTCTCCAAACCTGATTCCGTTGCATTACATGCTGTGCCCAGAGAGTCTCAGCAGTGCTGCAGATGATTTCCTGAAGAAGGTTGGATGTTGATGTGAAGACATTAAATAACATCCACAACTCTGGCAGATCCATCGTGGTTGCCAAGCATGAGATACTGATCACAGTGCAGAAGTTTCCTTACCTGCCCAGTCTACCTTGGGGCAACTGTTTCCCATAAACCTGGTGTCACTGATTGGCGCAGGATTTCAAAGCAGCACTCCTTTTAGGAGTGGAGCTCAAAGCTAGACCCATGGTTTGTGGCAGGAACCTGTTGTACAAGAAGCTGAGCTGAAATACACTTTTTAACCAATATTTAATTTCCAACTCCGGTGCAAGATGTGAGATTCCTCATTGTGCTGTGATACCACCAATTCCTGAAGCCCATAGTTAGCTAAGGAACCAGACACCAAGAGGTTTAAAATGAGATGGGGATGCAGTTTGTAACTGTTTCAGTGGCCTTGTTCGCCATGAATATACAGAATAATGGAAAAGATTTATGCAATCAACAGCCAGAACATTATCACCAGAGCCACAAACAGGAAGAGGCGGGATAGGAACTGCTCATCCACATATTGAGGAGTCCCTGGAACAGCTGGAAAACAGGAAGTAAAAAAACAAAACAGTTCAGCTTCTTCCTCTTCTCCAGAATCATGTATATTCTGAACATAGTACATTCATAAGTTGAAAGATAAGCAAGAAATCTACTTGGTGAGAAACTGTTGCTATTTCCCACCCTCAGACTGGCCACTCATACTGGAAGATCAGAAGGAAGACAAGCAGCAGCTCCCTGAAGCAGGACTCATGGTAAACCTGCTCATGACTAACAGCAGCAGGCAGCTCCAAGTGCTAGAGTACACGCAGGCCTGCTCAGAGTATTTCTGGGGGCGGTGCTGAGCCAAGTTCACTGCTTCGTTCACTGCTGACTGCTGAGCTAAATTCACTGTTTCCATCCTAAGGAACTTTACCACCTCTACCTGAGTGCTCCTCCCCATCAAGGTGAAATATCTCTGAATAAGGAAATGGTAAAACAGTCCAAGCTGTATGCGTAGCCTTGACGAACAGAACTAATGAAAAGCAGATGAGCTCTAAAGCTCAAGCCATGCCTTTCTGGAACTGCTGTATTGAATACACAGATTAAAAGCAGATAGAGGAGTTACTTAAATTATGGCTGTTACAACAGCATGTATTTACATACTCCTTAGCTCAGTCACACCTCCACACAAATTTTCAGTGGACACTGAAGTATAGTTAATAGGCAAGTTAATATGACCCAAGGACAGCACAGGTCCTTGGCAACACAGGTGTGACACGAAGAATGTGTTTCTGTTTCTCATGTGACATGGTGTAGAAGATTTGCAAGGCACAATCTTTCACAGAGGAAGTCCAGAAAATCTTCTGGGCAGTAGGTTTTCTTGTTCAAAATAGGTCAACTCAGTTTGTCTACAGTACAGATGGGGAGCAGGTTTTCTGGGGATTACTTATTTTGTAGAGAGTAAGACCATTACTTGGGAGTAACTCAACAGTTTTTTCTTAATTAAAAACAGTGAAATCATTTCACCAGGAAGTTACTTCTAAATTTCTGAAAAAGGAACAATCTTTGCTGTCATTATTTTGTGGTGCAAAGCACCAGTTTAAATTTTTCCTTCTCTGCTGTTTTCAAAATATGGGTCTCCTTCATACACCTCTACTGACTCCTTTTTACTATTTCTAGAAACTCTAATCCAATTTGTCTCATTTTTCAAAGGGAGTCCGCTGGAGTACCAGAGGAGACATATGAATTAAAGGGGAGAAGTCCCTAGTGCCACTGTCCCTCTCCAGTTCTACTGTCCTCTCAGGAAGGCCTTCAGCAAATCATATGGAAGTGACAAACTTGCCTCTTATATAAGCACTCATACAAAACCTACAAGCCATGGACTATTTTCCCTACTCGGTGTTTTCCCTCATTTTGTGTTTCTGTTTACAACACTGATTTACTTTACTGTTCAGAAAGTTTAGTCATTTAGCAGGCTATTTGTTTAAAAGTTACAAGAGAGTTTGTAAAACATCTGTTTGTAACAGGACTCTTAGAGAAGATAGGATGTATGATACCTGGAGGAGGTCGCCCATCATTTATGTTGAATGCTGTTGCAAATATACCAAAGGGAAACGCCCCAATTCCAAATGACATTTGGAAGCCACCATCCCCAAATCCAAATCCCTGGAACCCCTGCAGAGAACAAAGCGGCAGAAGAGAAAAAAGGTACCAATAATTTAAAGTCTATTTCAGAATATTTTGTAAATGTGCAGACATTCCTGCTCACTGGCTTTGGTAGGGCTGCAGGAGTACCATGCTCTCTGGCAACTTTCAGTCTGCCACACTACTGTTAAATACCTCCTTAGTTCTCCTGATTTTAAAACGTTTCATACAGTAGCAGACTTGCCAGAGCAACTCCAAATTTTGAGAAAATGAAACCTAGGAACTGCAGTTCTTGCTTGAAGGCCACAAATTAACATAAGCATTTCTGTAACATTTCTTAGCTTAAAATAGTATAGATCTGACAATATATCAAAATTACTAATTCTAATTTAGAATGTTTTAAAAATGTACTAATAATTCTGTATTAATAGCTATTAGCCATATAAGAAAGGCATTATAAAAAAAATAATCTGCATTGATTTTCATGGTACATATGCATCATTTAAATATTCAGTAAGGTGATAAATTGCCAGTAAGATGCATAGAGCATTACAGAGAAGAGTAGTAACAAAAAACCAGAATTACCAGGGGGACTCTAATTAAGGTGGCAGATAAAGTCATCTGGGACAGGAATGCAAGACATAAGGAGGAAAAAAGGAAGAGTTACAATGCAACAACATTGACCCCTACGGGATCTAAACCAAAATACCACATCAAGTCAAAAGATAAGTCTTTGGAATCAAGATGAATTCTACTGTATAAAAGCAGTGCACCACTTGAGAACCAACTGTATATGAATCTAAGTAGTTGAATCATGTTTGAAAACTGTGGAGAGCTCACAGTCACCATGTTCTGTAATCTAGCAAACTGTCCTCTCATCACAGAATTAAAACAGTGACACCAATTCTGAAAAACCCTCTGGTCTATCACCTCCAAACAGTGGGAGGACAAAGATGGTTTCACTCATATAATAAAAGCCAGACATTTCTGGGTTGATCCGTGATTTGAGGAGTTAGTCTTTTTACTATGAGTTTTCTCAAACATTTTGCCATTAACTATCAGGCACAGCAAAGCACTCTGCATGGCAGGTCCTGCACTGGTAGGGAACAGGAGGGCAGCATCACTACAATGTCTCCATACCAGATTCCTCTGACTTATGACAGCACCAGCTAAAAGGTTCAAACAAGGTATAGCAGCTGATTTAATAACAAGGCAACTCCCTAGCAAGGGAGAACAACTGAGATGCGATACATTCAATACAGAAATGTTCCTTAATGACACCCAGTAGAGTTGTTTGCTTGAAGCATTAGGTATACAAATGCTCTCTGAGGACCCTAGGGTGAGTTACACGGAAATATGCAATTGTTTCATCAGGTCATGCTCACTGCCATTGTGCGAAAGAATGCTGTGGTCTGTCCTACTGGCTACTCCCACATCTGTTCAATGTATGCCAGCTGCTGTTGACATTCACTCTATGTAATCTCCTCAACAAAACCACAGATCCTTCTTCAAATGAACATGTATCCAACAGACATCTACATTCTTCTGCTTGTAATGCCATGGTACAGTACCATCCCATGGAATTGCTAGAAGCAGGTGTCAATGCCAAAAAGTAAGTTCACACATGGTTTTACATCACCATGACAAGTATAGCTGATGGAAATATACTTCCACAAAGAATTTTCAAACCAAAGTGTTTCTTGTATTTAAATATGGAGAATAATCAAGTATGAAGAGCATTTCCAGTGATACCACAAAGGGCTGTTTTCACATTTCACAGTTCAAGTTAATCCATTCTTTGGGATGCTGAAGACTACTATAGGTATGGAGTTTTCTGCTGGGGATAAGCAAGAAATGTAAGCTATAGGATCCTTACATGGGATCTCATGCACACAGTATGTCCTCCAGGATGAATAAATACCACCATCGATAAAAACAATTTAGGTGCTCAAGCTTGTTTTTTCACTTACCCCTCTGTTCTCTGGTTCAGGTCTCTGTCCTTGGGGTCGTGGCGGAGTTTTCTCTCTGCAGGAAGTTGTGAAATTAGCTCAAGTGCAAGGATGCATGACAATAGTATTTGCAATAGCCTGGCTAACAAGACAGAACAAACACAGAGCACACTCTCAGAGGGCTGGCTGCCGCAGAGCTGGAGGCAGCGTGGGAGTGAGTGACCATCCAGCTTCAGCATCACATCACTGAATTAAGATACTGCACTTTTGAATAACAAAGTCCCATTGCAAAGGCTAGAAACTGAGGATACGAACATTTTACATAAGCTTCTCCAGTCAGGTAACATTTAGTGCAACCTGCCACTTATAACTGATAATTATTACCTAATTCAAATTAAAATAAATTGCCAGTTGAACAAGAAATAAGGTGTGTAAACCCACGTCCTGAAAAAGCAGAAATATTTGGCAGAAATGTCAGTTCTATCTGTCCTTTGACAAAGTATTTCAAACTGTGAATTCAGCACTGTGCTTTTTTCCTCTTAAGACCTTAAAATAAAGTTTCATCTTTAGTTTTCACAGAAAAATGGTTGGGTTTAGGTTTCTTACCTGGGGTCCTGTTGCCCAGTGCTACCTCTTCCATACAGAGGAATAACTTTATCTCGACTGATTCCTGCTTTGCATACAGGACACACTTGTCTGTTTGGCCTGGTCTCTAGCCACTAAAAGAAAGGAAATTATAAGAAAACTAGTACAAGACCATGAAAACAACAACAAGCAAACCTCATTTGTAGCAGGCAGATAAACTTTAGCAATTTCTCAGAAAGTCATGGAGCAAAACATTTTAATATGGGCCAAGTACTCTCCAGAGTGAAGTTGGCATTTTGGCAGTTTTTCTGGTACAATCCACTTGCTGATGTGTACACATTCAGAACTGCACTGGAGTAAAATATGAAGAAAAACAGTACCAACAGCCCTGCACAGGCCAAAGGCTAGTGTGGATACCCTCCTTTCATTTATCTTTTCTATAATTGTACCACAATGTAAAACACTACATATGCAAAGAGAAATACACTCAACATTTCAGCCTGCAAACTAAACCCCTGTGAACTGCCTACAGTAACTCTCCTACCAAAACTGGGAATACTCTAGGTTTAAGAAACTCAAAAGTGGGAGGCAAGTGTAACAGAAGCTAAATTTCCTTTATGCTGAAAGAGCAGATTGCAAGGTGTTGCACATGAAGTTGCATTAGCACATTGTGGTTGCCCTGGAGAGAAAGAAGCACATTTGAAAAGAGGGGGATACTCCAGAGAACCAAGGGTTTTATTGAGTAACAGGAGCTGATGAAAGACAAAGTAAAAGGAAACCTGTCTTACCTGGTGTAAACAAGGCCAACTGTGAGCATTCCCAGGACAATTTGTTCACAGAGCAGAAAAAGAGAGGAAAATAGAATTAGTTACGTACAGCTCTATCCAACAAATGTATAAAGTGTACCATGAATAGCACATCTTGGAGACAACAGAATCCTGGAATCCAGCCGGGCCAGTTCCATAACCTCCCATTAAAATAACTTTTGAAAGCACAGCCCAAGCCCAATCTCCACTGATCTTTTCAGGTTATGCAATCTAAGTTGCTAATGTGATTCTCTGTGTACCACCTTTGATTCCTGGGTCCTCATCCACACCAAAGGCCTATACAGAGGCTTAATTAATCCTAGTGTTTACTGTACAGATTTTCTCTTCTGATACCATGAAAAGATATCCCTGAGCTAAGATGCAAATGAGCAAGGTATCAGTAGTGATACTTCAGGATCTTAAAAGAAGTCATGCAAGAAACATTTAGGTAAAACGTCAGCCACATTCACAGAATCATGGAATAACTCAGGCCGGACAGTACCTCAGGTGACCTGTAGTCCAACCTGATGCTCAGCAGGGTCAGATATTGAGATCAGACCCAGTTGCTCAGGGCAGAGAAATTCCCATTATACAGAACTACTCTTAAGATTAAATTAACATGGCAACTTAAAAAATGTCAAAGACAAACAAGCAAGCTGAGACAAAACTGCTAAACAGCCATCTGCTTTCACAGTGTTATTGACAACACTATTCAGACAATATACATACTATTTTTTAAGGTTCCATTTTTCCAAATCCTTTTGTGAAATAATTTAATCTAATTTCATTTTAACATGCCATCAGCAAGTGATTTTCCGTCTCCTCCTAGAATAAAAACCTGGACTTTCAGATGTCACATACATATACACAGAAAAAAAAATGCTCTTTTAGGCCTCTTTTTATTAAATAGCGTAATTTAGCCTACCATGTAAAACAAACAAAAAAATCCAAACAACCCCCAGCCATTTGGCCATGTCAATCCTTAATAACTTCTTAACATTCAAGAAAGAGCATATTCTAGGCCAAGTTACCTAAATAAGAAATGCTGCATGCTTACTATATTTGTGCAGTACATTCCAAAGTCAGATCAAAGAACTGAAAAGCTAGTATTACAACTGCAATACCATGGGAAAAGAAATAGCCCACATGTAAAAGCTTGTTTTATATATATGTATAATTTTTTTTTTTTATGGTTTCAAAGGGAAAAACGAGCAAGCTTGTAGGAAGTATGAAAACTACAATTTGTCCTCCAGAACCTAGTTTCAGATGCAGGTTTAGGTATGCAGAGGTTAGAAAGGAATTTAGGTTTGAACAAGATATATATGCTAGACCAGACAGCACAAATAAAATAACACACATAACCAAGCAGAATCAATGAACTCTGTACTGTCTATGTGAGGGGCGCTTGTTTTTGTTTGCTTTTACAAAATAATCTAAAAGCATAAGAAGTTTAAGACACAAAAAACCCACTCCCTGGCACATGAGCCAAAAGAAACAGCGAAGGAGCAAATTCAAACTGCTCCTAAAGCAAAACCATAGTTCCTCCTCATTTTATATAAGGCATTTTATTTGAAATCAAGAAAATCATAGGCTTTTATGTGACCAGAGATAGATGGTGTTCTGCTTTATTTATGGGGGTGTCTCAGTACTTACCAGAAGAGATGTCCACACAAACTAATAACTGCATCCTTGGCAGTGTCTAAACAGATGTTACATTCGAAAGTATTGTCCTGATTAGCATTTTCCCCAGCACCGTTACTGCTACTGCTGCCACTGGTCCCTCCAGTACTGGAGTTCTTCGTTGATGCAGAAGTCGTCGGTCCTTTGCTTGCCATCCTCAAGAATTACCCAGACACAAGGTCAAAAAAATTTTCCTGCTGGAATCCTAGCAGTGAGAAAGGAAAAAAACCCAAACCATCAAACAGCTTCTTGGCATTGCATTCTTGTCCTGTTCCAAACTGGTAGTCATTTACCTAAGAAGCACTTGAATCCTATTGTTGATGGTTTTAGTTTAACACAGCCAAGAGGGATCTTTTTTTAGAAACTAAGCTACTTTAAAGTCCTGTAGTACGACCTGGCTGATATGTGACCTGTATTTTAAAGTTCCTGATAAGCAACTGAGATCCACAGCCAAAACAAACCCATCGTGTTTTCTCATAAAGACCATTTGCTATGAGAAGAATGGGCTCACCTAGTCATACATGCTCTTCTAAAAATTCAATGCAAGTCATTAACTGTGAGTGCAGTCTGAAATAGGTTTTAATCATGAAGCAACACACAGTTTGGACACACTGACTTAATGCATAGTTTTAAGTTCAATGTTCATTAATTTGGAACATTAATGATAAACAATGGCAAGCAAAGGTGACAGTACTTTGTCTCATCAGCAGTATATTGCTGCTATCACAGCAGTGTGTTATGACTATCCAACATTTCTAGTACTTTCAAACTATCAGACATTTCTAATCTAGAAGTAATGCAGTAGTACTAAAAATTTTAATGTGCTTTAATTTTACTTACATGCTTTCACCTCTCATTAATATCATCATATTTATCAAAGAACACCATTTATTTTATTTCAGTAACAACAACCTCCACAGTCTAATTCCTCAATATGCAGATTCCACAGTACCTAAAACTCAGCACAAGGCATTTACTTTTCCAGAAACAAACACTTTTACCAGTAAAAGATTTTTAATCCAAGAACTAAGAAAGTTTCAGAAGTTACAGAAATTAATTCACCAAAACAAAAATGCTTAAAATATTCCACTGTGCTTTTCATGAAACACTGACATCATGTTGCTGCTGCAGGGATATGAATACATAGATAAGGTTGTGAGAAAGAAACAGGTGATTATCTGAACTTTTGCAAACAATTAAGCATTTTAAAAGGGCAACCTAAATATTTCAGAAGCTAATTTATTTGCAAACTTACCCCACAAGCATTAAAGGTTTTCCTTAGCTATCCTTCTTTGTAGCAGTGCTGAAGCACAGGTGCAGGGCAGCAAAATAAAACCTCAGTATCTCTAGCTGTTATTGTCAACAGCTTTCTTCATACAATACAATCCCACTGCATGTCAAGAAAGCATCATATTCAAGCCTCATGAAGGTATTGTAGCGAAGACACTCAATTACACCAAGTAAAATACATTTTTGCAGAGCTTTTTCACTCAGTTACATCATTTTGCAGAGTGTCCCAGAAGGGCAGCTTTGTATTCACAGATGCTGTACTTTAATATACATTGCTTTCAGCACTGCTGACTCTTAGGATTTCACACCATGACTTCATTTACGCTCAGCAGCAATGCTGTTCATTGTACAAAATTAAAATTAATGTTAGTTCAAGGCAGATGGAAATGCTGCCAGCCCACAGACTACATGTTAAAGACGCCTGGATTTTTCACACATCCTTACTACCAGAATCTTCAGACTATCTTACTCAGTAGTTTAATGCTTAAAAACTCACCAACTTGGACCTATAAATATTTGCTGGGAATTAATATCAACATCAAGAAAACCTCCTTAAAACGAAGACCTTCAACACACTGTAAAAAGCATTAGCATCATTGTGTGGAATGGGCACTAGAAATGTCCGGCTCTTACATCTTGGCATATAACACAAAGAAAACATGTAGAAGAGACAAAGAAATGAATCTCTGACCCTAAAACCAATGGAGAGAAAAAGGTACTTTTTTCCATATATTTAACATCAGAAGTCTGGAGACTCCTCAAAAAGATAAAATCTGTATCTTTACAAACACCTGTTTAAAAACCCTTAGCTTTTAGTAACTATGAAAAATAAATCATTAAGTTATAAAGAAGGATGATAGAAAAATCCATAGGAATATCAGTAATGTAATGGAATGTAATAAAGATAGATGAGACAGAAGAAAGATCAAAATGATATAACACAACAGGCACTGAATCTCCTCTCCTTGAAGAAGGTCACTCCTTAGTCTGTACTGGGACCCTCTCATAATTATTTCTCCATAGGCTAGTTGGGCCTGAAGAACTATTATGACATAACCAATTTAAAATATAAAAAAATATATCAAAACACAACAATAATCAACCTTATTCTGGAAAGCCTTCTCAAACATTTGCTCTTGTCTGTGGAATACTGTTTAACATAATTGGTCTATAACAAGTGCTGTTGGAGCCTGTTTATCTGCAAATCACAGTGCCCATATACAAAGAAGCAAGCATGAAACAGCATCCAATGACTAAACTTACATTTGATAATCATGTATTGTATTACCTGTGAATGCACAAGTGAATCCTGAAGTTCAACTGCAAATTCAACTCATTCTGAGTGTAGAACAAACTCAAAATTGTTGAAATGTCACTTGAACTACTTAAACTCCGAGACAAAACTTTTTAGGGGGGAAAAAAAATCCCCAAACCACAAACTAAAAACAAAAAAACCCAACCAACACAACAGGTCAAACAAACCCCATTTTCATTTTGATTTAGAGTTCAGAAGGAAGACTCTGAGTACACTGGGATATAACATGACCTCTGGGGTTAAATAAACAGAATTCAGAGATGCCAGTCCAAGTTTGCTAAACCCTTGTCCTTTAGATCAGGTCTCCAAATAAACCCCAGACACATGATGAGTAGCAAACAAAACAAGAGAAAGGATATAAAAATCAGCTATGAGCTAACTGCAAGCATTCAAAGATTTCCTCTTTTTTCTTTCTTGCTTCTTTAGTCTTTAGGTATTTATAGGAAAACAGTATCTTTGTTACTTAAAAGCCATCTATATTAGCTGCTTTTTTCCTTTAAATCATGGCCCCTATGGTATCCCAACAGGATGTTCTGAAAATGACTGAATCACTGACATTTACTACATCCAAGAATCAAGAGTGGCAACAGATGAATGGTTAAGAAACAAAGAACCAATTTTCAAGTAGTTTTCCTAAAAAAAAAAGAGTCTGGTGGAGCGTGAAAAAGAGATGGAATTGAATATACATGTTTAGGGATCCAGCACAAATCCCACTGAGTTGCGTAAAGAATAAGCACGGCTGAAAGAGCTGGTGAAACTGGTCCTCCAAGAAGCAGATGGCACACTGGGACCTGAAAATTTTGTGACAACTGAGAGCACAGGAGGTCCATGAAAAAAGTAAGTGCAGGAAACTGCTAAGGTCTCGTACGGTGTATAAATACTGTCTATAAATCTCACAGGCAATAAGAAATAAAATTTACTCAAATACTTTATAAACTAAATCTATAAATCTAGTGGGAGAAACTGCACACCAGGAAAATGTGAGCCCAATGGCTACTGTAGAAGATTACATTTCTGAACTCAGCAAATGAAAAATGACTGCATTTGCCAAAGTACACTGACCTGACTCTAAAAATACAAGAGAGAATCACAGAATCACATAATTGTCTAGGTTGGAAAAGACCTTGAAGATCATCTAGAGACACTTCAAAACAGACTGAGAGGGTTTCCACCATAAGTTAAAGAATACCAAAAAAAAAAAAAAAGTGTCCACTGGAAACACAGCAGGTGAACAATAATTCAACTTGAGAAAGACAGAGAGGGAGTACAGATTAGAAACTAATGTCACCTGTATGAAACAACCGTGGAACACATGTTCACAGCACTACAACATTAGGATGTTTGAAATATTTACTTTTTAACCCTCTTTCATGAGTAATGAGAAAAATTTCTGGTGAGGATATAGGACTCTGGCCAGTTTATTAGTAAAACCCGAAGTTCATTCCTCTTTGCAATATCTAATACATAACGATGAAATAAAAAGAGTATTATTGGATGTAAAATTCCACTAGAAAAAACACTTTTCCATGTATCTTTCCTAACAAATCTTATTTTATCTAGGATTACTAAAATTGAAACAATCCAAATCTAGTTTGTTTCAGAAACAAGCTCTGATTTACTTTCTGAACCTCTTGCTGTTTAAATCAAAAGGAAAACTTGTCAGGTTATTTTTCTTATCACTACAGTGACAATGTCATTTTCAGACACATATGACACATTTTATAAAAGGAATAGTAACATTAGAAAATCTACCTAAATTTAAAAATATTACTCAGACTTTACACAAATATACCCACTCATAAGTTTAATACAAATCTGATTCTTAACCTATTAGAATTGCCTGGACTTCAAGTTAAACTAACAGGTAACTTTAGCTGGTAATTGTTGACAGTGCCTAGAAGTACATTTACTTCTTGACAGCCATTTTTAGATGTTCTTAGCAAATACATGACTGGTCCTGCTGTCAATCATTAAATACACATTTATCTCTCACTACCTTTTTACTCTATTCTGTCCCCCAAACATGTTACATTTTAACACCTCAGAAACATTTTCTGAGTTCATCTTTTCACTTCCTGTAACGTGTACAGCATCACGTACCCACTTTTTAGGATTACCATGAAGTGGTCCCAACATACAAGTTTGCACGACTGCTCGGTCTTGCAAAATTAAGCCATTTGCCTTACAGACCAACGTGCCCTTGCTTGGCCTCATTTCATTAATTGGGATTCTGCAACATACGTCTGTGTTACAGTTGCTGCTTCCAGGATAAGAGCCCTGCTGAGAGGCAGTTTTGGCAACTCTACAGATTCAGTATACCACAGAAATGCAAGACAGTGTTACAAACTGTCAAAAAAAGCAAGTCCTGAAAGTACTTTTTTTTTATATATATATATATATTTTAAACCATTCCATAAAAGTATAATATATAGAGTCCAGGAAAACATTGCACAATTCTTTAAACAAATATTTTATCTTCTTACTCATTAAGTCCAAAGGAAAAAAAAAAAAAAAAAGAAAGAAAGAAGGAAAGAAAATGGATATAACCAGTTGGGTAATACTGCCTTAGCATTTTCCTGGTTTGAAGTGTTATGTAAAATATTAAATGGCCTCTAAGTGGGCTAACCAGGTTAGCAGCAAAATGTAAAAATCAAATAAGAGTTATGATGGGGGTAGCGAAGTAATAAATCATTAAGTTATAAAGAAGGATGATAGAAAAATCCATAGGAATATCAGTAATGTAATGGAATGTAATAAAGATAGATGAGACAGAAGAAAGATCAAAATGATATAACACAACAGGCACTGAATCTCCTCTCCTTGAAGAAGGTCACTCCTTAGTCTGTACTGGGACCCTCTCATAATTATTTCTCCATAGGCTGGTTGGGCCTGAAGAACTATTATGACATAACCAATTTAAAATATAAAAAAATATATCAAAACACAACAATAATCAACCTTATTCTGGAAAGCCTTCTCAAACATTTGCTCTTGTCTGTGGAATACTGTTTAACATAATTGGTCTATAACAAGTGCTGTTGGAGCCTGTTTATCTGCAAATCACAGTGCCCATATACAAAGAAGCAAGCATGAAACAGCATCCAATGACTAAACTTACATTTGATAATCATGTATTGTACCTGTGAATGCACAAGTGAATCCTGAAGTTCAACTGCAAATTCAACTCATTCTGAGTGTAGAACAAACTCAAAATTGTTGAAATGTCACTTGAACTACTTAAACTCCGAGACAAAACTTTTTAGGGGGGAAAAAAAATCCCCAAACCACAAACTAAAAACAAAAAAACCCAACCAACACAACAGGTCAAACAAACCCCATTTTCATTTTGATTTAGAGTTCAGAAGGAAGACTCTGAGTACACTGGGATATAACATGACCTCTGGGGTTAAATAAACAGAATTCAGAGATGCCAGTCCAAGTTTGCTAAACCCTTGTCCTTTAGATCAGGTCTCCAAATAAACCCCAGACACATGATGAGTAGCAAACAAAACAAGAGAAAGGATATAAAAATCAGCTATGAGCTAACTGCAAGCATTCAAAGATTTCCTCTTTTTTCTTTCTTGCTTCTTTAGTCTTTAGGTATTTATAGGAAAACAGTATCTTTGTTACTTAAAAGCCATCTATATTAGCTGCTTTTTTCCTTTAAATCATGGCCCCTATG